CCTCTCTATTTGACATTTTTTAATTTTTTTTTTAGGAAATGTAGATCACGTTGAGCGAAATCGAATGCCGTTTGAATTTTGAAAATCGGCCCGTTAGATCTCGAGATCAAGGGGGGGGGGGTCGTAAACAGCCCCCCCCCCGCCACTAATGGGGTAGCCAGGAGCTTGCCACTAATAGGGTTAACCCGCGCCATGGTGGTGGCCTTATCGTAACACGTTGAGTCGAGAGGTGGGCTTTTCACGCTCCTTCTAACTCGGCTATTGGCTACGACTCGAGGCGAAAAGCGGAACGACGTTTGAAAGAGCGACAAACGTGATCAGAGAAATCTGGTCATGTTTTAGGCAAGCTCACTAATAAAATCACCATAGATCATCAAAGCCAAATTTCTCTGATTTTAACGTTCTCCGACAACTTTTCTCACTGTTCATCAACATAACGGAGCTTAAACACTGCAAACAAAACATTCGATTACTCGTTAAGGCTCGGTCGCGAATACCTAATATTTCAGGTGCGAGCTCAAATCAATAAGAGGGTCAAAACGGTCAAATTTGACATTTTGTTTGTGTGGGAAGGTTGCAACTTCCACGGAATAAGCTTTGCAAAGGGCATGATGGCATTTTTAGCACGATCATCCAGCAAATTTGACCTGATGACCTGACCTAGCACTAGGTGACATGCGTCCGAAATTTTAAGGCGGTTGCAAAATTGTTGTTACAATTACGAAATCTTCCGCACCTGCGTGCAGCAGTTTTCCCTAAAACGTACAAACGGCAGACATCCATTATTCTATGCCACATAATAGGGGTTTGTTGATAACCGTTGACAAATATTTGAGCATCATCGTCTTTCTGACTTTCGGTCGCCGGCCGGGGTAACTTTTTCAAACATTCTCCACCCGTGTGACGTTCACAAATCTAAAAAAACAAAAGGATTCCGAACGACTTTATTTATTGATTTCTTGCTAGGGAAATGGAGAAACAGGAAGCCATTATCTTATTTCCAAGAAAAATAAGATAAAAAAGTAGAAAAAAAAGTAGAAGAAAATAATTAACGCGTAAAATACCTAAAATACCCAGATCTGGTTTCTGATAAGCTCGCAATTACGGTCGTTTAACATTTCAATAACATCATCAAGGCCCTTTGACTACAGGCTACATACAAACATCTTCGACATCTCCCCTCCTTCCCTCTCCCTCCAGCTAACTGGGCCTCTTCTATTCTCCAAACCCAGCCTTCCAGCCGCCGCCAACCGCTTTACGCCAATCCCGCCCACCCCACCTCACCTCGGCGGGTCCCGCGCGGGAGGCCGCGCCGCGCCGCGCCGCGACCGTCCACAGTTCGCCTCGCGCGCCGTGACTGTCCACACCTCTGACCATGTCGCTCCGCGTGCCGCTGCTCCTGTTGACCGTCTGTGTACCGGCTCTGTACGCCTTCCCCGATGGAGCTCCGGCCGAGGCGTGTCTCAGAAACATGGAGCCCAACCACAGCGGGGCCAAGAGCAGGAACCCGCTGGACTCTCCGTTCGCTGTGTTCCGACACACGTCGCCCGGAAGGGTCACAGGTGAGCTTCAGAAGGGTTGCAGCCTGCAGGTGAGCGTTATGACTTTGAGGGTCATAAGTGAGCGTGAAAAGGGTCACAGGTGAGCGTGAGACGGGTCACAGGTGAGCGTGACAAGGGTGACAGGTGAGCGTAAGAACGATTATGGGTTAGGTCACAACTGACCAATAAAACGCTGAAGCAGCAAACAAGGCTCAGATGTAGGCCAGGCCTACGACGTGGAAGAGGCGACAGCATCACATTGTACTGCTGATTCCCAGTCGCTGTATTTGAGTGAAAAAAAACATACACAACCATACCGCGATGTAATTGTCTGCTTTTACGTTTACTCGAGAAAAAAGAACGAGAAACTCGACGAAAAATGCGCATAAATCTCTAAGCATTTGCCATGTTTTGCCGAATTTGAAATTAATTAAATTAGTTTAATGCAAGGCTTGGCTAATGAGAGATTCATGAAAAGGGATAAGTAATGATCTAGTAAAAGGGCGCACCTTTCAATTGATTGTATTTGCCGTGAAAAAACAATGCTCCATGTAAATTTATAATCTATTTTACATCAATAATAGCATGCAGCTTTCTCGTTTTTTTAGGATTTCAGCATGATTTTAAAACACAGTTTCGCATATTTCCCATCCGGCACCAATAAAAAACATGAGATGATTTGTTTACTGGTGCACTATGGTTACAGTTTCTTATTGTTGGTACATTTCACGTACTTAACCCTCGCCCATGTAGGGGGGGGTTGGTGCAACCCCCCCTGAGGTTTTTCGGAAATAGTGCAAAAACGGCGGCGCGCAGCGCCGCCAAATTTTGGGTACCTTATGGGGCAAACCTTGCGCATCTTTTGATAAAAAAAAATTTCACCGGGTCATGTCAGGTCACGGAGTTATGACGTCACAAAGGGAACAGCCTCCGGCCGGATTTTCACAAACTGAGTGCCAACGCCCGAGGTTTCCTGCCGGTGGTACGGACATCGGTTGATGGATCGTGATGAAACTTCCCATGCATGTTGGGGCAAGTATTGGCTATCATATGGTATAAGAAACTTGACCGGGTCAGGTCAGGTCACGGAGCTATGACGTCACAAGAGGAACAGCGTCCGGTACTATTTTTGAAAAGCGCCCGAACCCTATTTTGCTAATTCTTGTCACCTCAATGGGAATATGCAGCAATATTAGCTTCTATAGGGAGCAAATGGACCTTCCAAATCCAAAAATACAATCAGATTTCAAAAATTTAAATTTGATTTTTCGAATTTCTGCCGCCGACTGTGACCTTGCCGACTTCCGGCGCTCCCAACGCGCCATTTTTAGAGCTAGGGAAACGAAATACATATCAAACGATAGAGAATTGATCAAGGAATACGATAGTGAAGGTTTCAAGTCGATATCTCCCACCGTTTTGCCGCAATCGCCGCGGAAAGTTGAAAAAAGTATATTTTTCCGAAAATTTGACCTTTGACCGGTCAAAAGTAGGTCAAATGTTGACCAAGGACCAAAAATATACCACAATCGCGAGATCTCGGCGAGAGCAATCCGTTGGTCTTTTCCGCTAAGCTCTACGACGCTCCGTTTTCAAACGCCAAGGGGGGGGTCGCACCAACCCCCCCCCCCCTGCATGGGCGAAGGTGGCAGATCGCCGTTTACGGGCGAGGGTTAATATTGCAAACGCTTGCTATTAATAAAATGCAAGCAAAAACCCTTAACCCATGCCGTGCTGGGGGGGGGGGTATTTTCACGCCCCCTCATGTTTTTGGCACACCTGTTTTTGCCTCTTTTCTGCACATGCTGTAAAAAGAAATTCAGACCCGGGTCGTTCAAGGTCAGGTCACCAGGTCACGTTAAGTGGCCTCATAAAAATTGATGCTTGCTGTAACTACACCGACCTGAACGATCGCTTTGAAACTTTCAGCGATTGATAATACTAGCAATATGTATAAATGTGTATCTCGGAATTCTGATATATGTGACCTAAGGTCAGGTCAATTTGTGATCTACATATAGCCTATACATTACCTATTTATATGACATATAGGTATAGGTCAATGGGAAAAATTGAAGTGCTTCTCTTTTGGACAAATGTTCTAAACACTCTCAAACATTGATTTATCGGTAAAAATGACACACTGAATCAGAAAATTGCACCCGTGACCCCTATGTTTGCCACTGAGGTCATCTCAGGTCACAAAAGGTCGCCATAAGTTATTTTACTATAACGTTTGATAGAGGCGCGCTAGAGCGGTGAAAACACGTCAGATGTGTTCAGCTCGACGATACGGATGGACTGACATGCAGCATGACCCTTTATGGTCAGGTCATGACCTTGACCTGAGGTCAAATTTTGAAATAACCCTTCAAGGTCAACTAATAGTTTATTCGACGCGTCTCAACCAGAAGAACACGATGCTGACAAAATTGATTTCGTGGCTCCCTTGAGTCAAAAAGATATTACCGAAAACATTTTCGTAAAAACGGCTATTTGTTAGTTTTTGCCATCTGGAGGCTAAACCGTTGACGTGAGGTCAAATCTGAGGACATCAATCAGAAAGGTCTGTAAAAGAGCTATCGAATGCGCTTTTCCACGGCGCTGTAGCTCTATTGGTTCCCGAGCTATGCGTCGGGTGTTTCGAAAACTGTTGAAATAGACAAAACTTGACCTATGACTTCTGGTGACCTCACCTTTGATCTGACCTAAAAATGACCGAAGTATTTCCGTCGCTATTTTTTACGCTTTTTCGAATACCTCTTACCGCATATCTTTACGTGGCTCAGGGGTCGAGTTAGACGGGGGAGTTGGTGTAAGCACAAAATAGCTGTTTTCCTCCATGATCCCTACAATGATGTGCAAAGTATTTTGTTCTCCAGGCAATACCTTCGTCATTAGTAAAAACTCTCGGCCATAAATGTCACGCCTATGCCTAGTTGTTTGCACCAAAACTCGTTCCGATAAGCTGGTTAAGCCACATAAACTGACAGCAAACGGCGGGGAGAATCCTTGCCCAACCAGACACTTCTGCGTCTTCACGGTGGTGTAAACCACAAACTTCGTCTCCAAAGGTTCGCCCAACACCATAAAGCCATGACATCCAGTCATGACTTTCACCAGTTTGTACCAGTTCCCCCGTTCACACATGTGTGCATATGATCAATATGATCACCAGTTTGCCTTCAAAATTCCTTTGGCTTTGCAAGCTGCAAACTCAAAACAAATGTCAGTGACCTGTATCAAAGAAAATACCCGTGACTTGTAGAAGTGGTATTTTGGCGATCTGCCGCAATGGCCTGAAAGCCATCTCTAGGTATGTCTGTATTTCGGTACTTCTTTCATGGAAGAAGTGCGCAGTTGTAACAATTAGCACGCCTTTGTACTACAGCGGACTCCTATAGAGCAGCCGGATGTCGGAGGCGATAATAAAAGGTGTTACACGTGTCAGTTAGTGCCATTTGCAACGATTCCAGGAGCTGAGGAGCGACCAGCATGGTCAGTGTGTTGCGCCAAGCCCAATGCGTGTCCTCTCAGCCGACTTCCTGTCTTTACGAGTGTCTGTGTCAAGGTCAAGGATTAGGAGCGGTCGGCGTTTATTTAGAGCTTTTTTATGCGATATCATAAAAGTGGCTCATTCTGATTCATCATATTTCAATTTGCACGCGCAACGTAACCACTCAGTCTCGGCCGCGAGCTGTCAATGCGTGAGGAATCTCGGCCTGATGAAGGGATGCCACTACTCAGTACCTACCGGGTATCAGGATTAGTAAAGTAATCTTGCTGGGTGCCAGGATTACCAGTATTTGTTGAGAGAGATTTTGTGTATACCTTTTCTTAACCCGCGCATGACTGGGGTATTTTCCATAACGCGAGTGACTGAGAGGGGCATCTACAGAGCCCCCCCCCCCCCTCCGGAACTATCTCCGAAACTACAGGGCTGATCGTCAAAATTCAAACGGCGTCTGATAGCCCTGGAAAAACTGTCGAGCGAAACTTATTGTCATTGACTTCGAGGTCACCGATGACGTCGCACGTCAGATCCAAACAAAAATTATCACATTTTTGCTTGTATGTACACAATTTAGGCTCGGACCGCCGGATGACAAGTCCGATCAGGCTCATTTTTACTTTACACACTCCTTGATATATGCCTTATATACCTGAGGGTACCTACCAAACTTTTACTTCGAATTTTTTTCAGGTCAAGGCCAGGTCATATTAGGTCACGAAAATTGTATATCATGTATCGGCCACGTGACGCATGTTTTATGGTCCATCTTGCTCGTAGATTTCGAAGATAATGCTGTCTGTGTCATTTGAGGTCATTTTCAGCTGAATTTACCAGAGGTCAGATCACTTTCAGGTCAGAAAAGGTCAAATTTTGAAAATGAAAGTTTGCAACAAAAAAGGTGCCTATCAGATGCACTTTGAGCTCAGGAACACGATGGTGCCATTTACGAGTATATTGCTGTGCGATGCCAAAAACGTACTGAAAATGGTTTTTAAAACTATGTAGGTATGTAAATAAATCTAGACTATAATGCAAATTGCAAATAACTTGGCTATTTTTGGAGATATTGAGCTAAAACTTGCTAGAAAAGTTTATCAGTATGTGTTCTATCACATACATTCCGGTTTTTGAGAAAAATCAATAACTGTTTGAAAAAAAATTAAAACATATTTTCTGTAATTGTAAATACATTTTTTTTCAAAATTTTCAAAATTTTCGAAAATTCGAGATAGCAGTTTGACAGCTACGTGTATTTGAAGTGCACTCATGCAAAGAAATTGGATTCTATCTTTAATTAAAACTGAGCTCTTGAAAGCGTTTGCCGTAATTCAATATTTGGCATCAAAATTGGCCGACATGACGCCACTCTGACGTCATTTTCGGCCAAACTATAGCAGCTAAAAGGTTGCACTTGTAACACAAGGTGTCAAATTAATGCTGCTGAAGGTAACGCAAGTTTCGTGCTGATCCATCAAACGGCTTAGAAGCTATTGCCGAAAAAATGGGA